CCCCTCCACCCCCTCCAGTGTTTCACCCGCCAGCTGACATTGCCAATGTCCGACGAACGCAGAAAAAACAAATTATGCTATGGATCATCATAAATACTGCGGTTTGTAAACAAACACAAAATAATGTATCGGAAGCAAAGAACAGAACATTAGGTTCGCCCATGCCTGCAATCAAGTACATTTGCCATTGTATTCGCCGTGCGTCTTACAATTTTAAGTAGAAGTAAACAGAATATTGACACTGTCATGGCAGCCAGCGAAACAGTGACTCAGCGAACCAGCATAATACTATTGTTCTGTTACCATGCTAGACACGTTTATTCTACTCACAGACGCGGGATTCATGCATCGTTCACACCCGGCAATAGCTGTCCCTGTTTGGCGTCAAGGTGAATGTCGTCGCATGCCCGCAGTTTGGCAGGATGAGTATACCTGCTTTCACTTGCGTGAGTAGAAACTACACTTAAAATTGAGATATTTAATAATTTATTAGCACAGCCATTTCATCCTGTTAGTAACTTGGATGCCAGAAGGCCTACTCACGGAAAATGATCACCTTCGTATCAATACCCCCTCAACCCATCAACGCGCGAGCACAAGACAACGCAGGATTTTGATCGGTGCGGCTGCGAGGGTCACATATAGTGATGGGTAATAGTGCAAAGGAATAAATTGCTGCACGCTTGGTTGCACGGGCCATACGCCGAGTTAGATATGATTATATCCATCAACACCATCACTGGGTTGCTTCCTCTGAGTGTTGTGTTCTGCGAACTCGTTTTTCCTTCCACTTCCTCCGAGAATCTGCTTGTTTTGCCCCGAGAGATTCTTGCAAGCCTCCTTCTCCTGCGAGCTTGATGTCCACAATCCATTTTCGCTACTGGCATTGCCTTAAGCTTATGATCACCTTTTCTACAGCGGGGTAGGCCATCATTGATTTGTAGTTGTGATTTGTACCATCAATCTTACAAATGCGTCGCGACTGGAAAACCAGCTGGCAATTATGAAACATACCCAGGTACGGTTGTATAAATTCTCCAGAGATTTGTAAGTTTTTACGTGTGGTTTTGTACATTTGTAACTTGTAGTTCTTGTTTGTAGGCTTCTGCTTTGCGAAACACATTTTTACAACTACACATACACATTTACAAACTATGATACGAATGTACAAAAAACTGCCTTTATGAGAAAGGCTACATGCTTTAAAAGGGCTACATGATCTCATACAGATGATTGTTTGCTGGGTAGCAGCGACTCGAAGGCACAATATCATCCTTTTTGGAGTTGGAGACGGTCGACTCGTTCGGTTGTCCCGCACTCCACCTCAGGCGTGCGTGACGGCATGAAGAGACAAAGGTCATACGATATGGCCAGGGGCCAGTTCGGGCCGCCCGGGATGAAGGGCTATGCCGTCGGTAACTGGGTCTATCCGTTGGAGCGCAACGCCTCATGAGATATCGCGGCTCAGCCCGTTCTCTTCTTATGTGGTGTGGCAACATGCCTTGCAGGCCCTTGGTGGCGAAATTTCGGTACGGAAGGAGATCCCGCCATCGACGCTCATAGGGAGGGCAACAAGGGACTAAGTCAGGCCGGTCGGGCCCAGTCGCCAGTGTGCCGGGCGAGGAGACCGTAAGGCGTAAACGCAGGTCATGCCGGATGCTCGCTGCCTGCCAATGGTCTCTAACCGTCCCATCAGGTGCACTGTCTACCTCCAGCCCTCTGAGGGGCGCGCCATGGGCGGGTGTCTTGCAAATCTCACTCCGGCAGGCGGGAGGCGAGGGCGCAGGAGCGCTGGAGGCGACGTTCCCGTACTGGACGGCTCGCCGCCGAATGCTTGAACTGCGAAGTGAGTGAGTGAGTGAGTGAGTGAGTGAGTGAGTGAGTGGAAAGCTGCGAGCTGTAGGCGTGGCAAGAGTAGTGGGCCGCCTCATCGGGGACGAGACGCTAGTGAGCGTCATCCAAATAAAGAGCTGTCATCCAGGAGGCCAGGTGAAGGAGCGAGTGGTCGTCCAGTTCTGGTACATCTGACGCCGGCCCAGTAGCCGCGTCGGTGCCAAGCCGATAACAAATTTACTTTATATATATATATATATATATATATATATATATATATATATATTTAAAATGGGGCGCAAACATGACTTCATTGCATGTTCGAAATGCGTTTAAATGAGATCTAATTTAGCTCAACGAGGGAGAGGGCAAAAGGGGAAGGGGCTACCCGTGTGCAGCCAAGCATGAGTGGGGTGAAGTGGGCGCCAGCGGATTTGCATACTTGAAGTGGCTGTGGTGGGGAGTCGAATGCACGACGTCTGTGTGGAAATGTTAAGGACCAGATGGCTTAGAGGGTTGATATCCAGCGGGCCCTTGCCAATGTAATTCGCCGGTTGCGTAAGATCCCTGCCGATTTGGACGTACCGTGGGGACTCAGGACGGGAAAACCTTTCTCAATGCATTTGGTCCCGTGTTTGACCCGTTTAAATATCATCACCAGGTAAACGATGGAGGTGAATACAATGGTGTAGGGCGCACAGCCATGTACAGTGAAATAGCCGTTCATGGTGTCTGACCGAACCCACCATCCCACCAATACGCCGGTCACCCGTTTCATCCTAGTTCTGTAGCTTACATGTATGTAGATGTCGGGTGTGCCTGAGTCTATGCCTGCCGAGTCGTACTCCTCAACACCATTCGGCTCGCATGCCGACCAGTGGGCTCCTCATTATAATTGCTCTTGTGCAAAGGCGTGAGGGCAGCAGCCAGCGACGCAAAACACCGGTGGCAGCCAGGCAGCCGCGCAGCGCACGCACCGGACCACAGACCCCTCCCCCCCCCCCCCCCCCCCCCATCTTCCTAAATGAGCACCCTTGCCACCGATCGGTGCAATTTCAGGTCAACGGCAGACTTTTGAGGGTGAATGTTTAAAGTGCCGCAAGGCACGGCACGGTCTTTCCTGCCATTTAACGTCACCTGACCTTTCCGGCGGCCGCTGCTGCTGGCCACAGACCACATCAATATATCAAGCGCCTAAAACAATTCAGACCCACGTCGCCGCGATTATGCGGATTGGAAGGCAAGCGCTCTAAACAACTAGCCTATCGGAACGGACCTCAAATGTGTTTTACTTTATCTCCAAGCCGTAACGTACCCCTTACGTAACCTGAGGACGCTCCGTGTAATTTATTTGCTCTCTCTTTTTAAGCTCGCAACATCATTACATTCTTACTGCTGGTCGCGTAGAAGGTGTGTACACCAACCGGCAGCCAAGGAGCAACGCCACCTGAGGAGCAAGGCGACAACTGTTCCATCACCATTTGCTGAGGGACAACTATATCCCTTCCCACAGTCCCTCATATCAGACAACTATATCCCTTCCCACTATATCCCCGTAATACGAGGCACAACGCGTAGGAACCCATCCCCCGAAGTCGTCAAAATTAACCGTTCTCTCATGACACTGACTGTCATCTCAGCCCCAACTGAATACGGTTTCAGTGCGCGACAGAGGCTGAAAACCTGTTTCTCTTAATGGTAATGCAGAAGGGATCACTGCAGCACTAGTGTGCCACGTACATCGCCTTCACCTGGATCGAAGGGGTTCAGCTCATGCGGCAGTCCCTCCTGACAGTCTGAAACGCATCACGTCAGATAATTGGCTGCACTTGGGGTCCCACAACAAACAGCGTTGGTGTAGACCTATAAGGAGCATGTGAACCCTGTGATTCTCAAGCAGTGCATCGCCTAGATGTTTTTTGTCGCCACGGTAGTCTGTTGTCATTTTTCCCACAAGTGGACTAAACACTTTTAGAGCCGGTTGTTTAGCCATATCGTAGCTGTGGAGCAAATATATCTGAAATATCACCCTGTGAAGCTTAAGCCACCAACGAGCACACGTTTGTACACCGGCACATTACATTGCCAATTAGTCTAGATGATACGATATGTATTGTGCTGAGAGGAAACTGCGCAAATGCGAAAATTTGTTTTTCGCCGACATCTGGCAACGGACGGCCTTCCACGCTTAGAAGGAAAGAGGATGATAGCTATTTGGAATATTTCTTTCCAGCCAACGACCAAAAGGCCAAATCTAACTTTTCAGGAAGTAGTGTGTCTCAGCCTCAGTCCCTATCCCCGGTTCCGTGCCTCCGTGTCTTACAGTAGTGCGGTGCAAGGCACATAAGTTTGCATGAAAAGTACCATTTACGAGAGTACTAGTTATCTAAGGCATGATTTCCTGCACATTTTGCATTCAGGCACTGATGTGCTGATTTTACGATCTCGCTCCCTCTCCCTATCAAAAATTGAGGGCGCCACCCTTGAGTGCCGTGCTTGATTTGAATGACAACTAAGCTCACTTGAGCTCATTTTGCTGAATTTGCTCAGATCTGCTTAGATTCGAAATGGCAGGCTACACTATGCTCCAACAGAAATGAGCGCGTTCCATGTTTGTACGTGCAATACATGGATAACATGTCTAGTTTGCTAAAGTTGCGCGCAGGAAGATGGCTTCCCATAAAAACAAAAGCATGTAAGTATTTAATGGTCAAAATCTGGTGATTTTTAGGAGAGGCTCAAACTCCAGGACACAAAATGTTAAATAGTTCCACCGCCCCCCCCCCCCCCCCCCAACCTCCACCCACCCCATTATCGAAATTCTGGGTCCGTCACTGCAGTGAGGCATGGTTCAGTAGCGGAACTTGACATTTGCATAAACTTTTGATTGACAGCTTATGCAGCCCTGAAAAATGGCTTGCGTAAGATGCCTGCAACAAGTATGGCATTTGTGTAGCAATATATTATAATTAGACACAGAGTTCTAGAGATGGCCTACGCCCACCTACGCCCCTATCGTGGCAGCAAATAAGTGGCATCAGACAGGACCGACTCATAAGCGCCATAACCGTCGTACACTGATGGGAGCGTTATCATTTGGCGCAGTTAGGTGGTGAGTGAGGTGTGTGTGGGGAGGTAAAACACCGATTCGTCTATCAGATTGTTACCTTCTTGTATCTTTCGCGTATTTCTGTTTGAATTCCAGTTGTAGGATAAATGGTGTGGTTTGAGCTCGATATCATTTCATGAATGAGCCAGTCAAGATTTTGCCTGACTAACCAACGGGCATTGACAGGTTTTGAATCATGTGAAAGTGGAGGGCTATGGTACGATTCCATTTAATTCATATTTGAGACTGATGCAATTTCTGCTGTCGATTTATTTTCGTGAATCAGAATACTCACGTGCTGAAAATTGCTTGGATGGTTGGTATGCAAAGGTTTGGGGTAAATTTCCAAGTTATACTGTTATACTGAGCCATGGTTTCATTAAGATGAATGACTCATGAGAGGTGGTGTGTGATGGAGACTCATGATGTTCCATTTTAAGTAGGCTTATCAACAAATGAGAAAAAATTGCATGCAGTGTTGCTATTTTACTTTATGTTTTATTACTTTGCATGTGGATATGACTTTTACTCAGATTGATGCTGCAATCTGCAAGGCTGCAAGGGTGACAGGGTCAGTCACTGGTTTGCTGGGGAAGTATGGTAAAGTGATGTGGGAACACCCATGGAGAAGCTTTCGTACCTAAGTTACAGAAGACTGATATTTTTTATTGTGTGAGGAGCATATTCATATAGCCTAGACTAACTGAAAGCCCTTTCCTGTCTCAGTACAAACAGTTCCAAAATTTTCTCTTGGAGGCATTGTAGGATTAGCTCATCAAGGAAACAACATGAGACATATTGCCTTTGAGGAAGTCAGTAGATGGAGATCTGCTTGGAGGTCTAGAACTCATCACTTTTGTATGATGTCATTCATTCATGGTACAGTTATTCTCCTACAGTTTTGCTACAATAGGCATGTTATTAGGGTGTTTATATGCTGACATTAGCATGCTGCTCACTTTTCAGTGTTTGTATGCAACATATTGGCAAACTGTGATGTAACTGCTGTAATAAAATGCAGTTATAGTTATATTTGTTTTAAAAACGAACTCCCAATCTACATAAAGTGTTAGCTTCAGTTCAGCTGAAGCAGAAACAGACTTTGTTTCAGGAATATGCTTCCAAGGCTGATTTTTCATGTTTCTTCTGCCACCTGGCTGTCCAAAGCATTGGCCAGTACAAGTCCAGCCTTGTTGGTATGTGCAATATGGGAGAAAGGAGCATGCAGATTGCTTGAATTTCAGATACATTATGCACCGGCCATTGTGCCAGTATTCACATCACACACGTCATTTAGGATGCCCTTAGCAGTAAAAAGTGTTCAAAGCTATTGGTATGTGGGTATGCATAATAGCATGTGTCATTTTCTCTGTCCAGCATTTCAGGGACATACCACCATTCACTTTTGAAATAATTTGAAAAGGGAAGTTGTAATGGCTGCACAATGTTCATTTCCAGACCAATAGCACCTGGAGTCGGCGCACCATGAGTGATGAGGTGCAGAAGGCCCAGGCAGCAAAGCCAGTGCCAGGACCCACCATCTTTGACAAGATCATTGACAAGTCAATCCCTGCTGACATAATTTATGAGGATGAACAGTGCCTGGCATTCCGTGATATAAATGCCCAGGCACCAGTCCACTTCCTAGTCATACCGAAGAAGCGTATTGGTGCCCTCTCTGAGGCTGAAGATGCTGATGAAAAGGTTTGTGTTTGAATCCCAGATGATGCATTGCTTACATATTTTACAAAGTAGTGTAATGTATTATGAAGTTGTAAGTTTTTGAATATCCAGCTTTGCTCTATGACAACCTTCCCAGGAGAGGGAGCCTCAGAAGGTACTGTGGTTTGCCTGGAATAGCCTTAAACATCTTAAATCATGGTGTTAAAAATTTGATAAACTGTTGCGCAACAGCTTTTTGACTCATCTGTTTTCTTGTCATGTTTGTTGTGTTTTGTGATCAGGCAGACAATAGCACGTGTCTATTGAAAAATATGTGCTGAAAGAGCTTATATGTATTGATATATAATGCATCTTATTGTACTACATGACAATGTGATTTTCTCAAACAAAGTTTTCCTGCTGCCAAGGTTGGTGAACTTGACAAATCAAGAAGTTTTTATGTTTATAAAAGTTTGTTTGTTAACTTTTTATGAAAGTCCTACAGTTCCTGCTCTTCTGCCACTAAGAGTTTTCAGTTTTTATATTGAGTTAGTGATCTGCATTAGACCAGGGAATGTTGAAACAATGCTGTAGTGCTTGATAATGATTGAACAGACTGTGCTCAATATTTCAGGCTGTTTTCTCATTAGTAGAGTTATTAAGAGGGCTGTGCTCTCTTTTGAGGATGTGTACAGCTCAGATTCTGAAGTGTCATCAAAAATGGTTATTTAGCACTGTAACACCATTTGACCAGTACCCCCTGGATTACTGGTCATAAACTCAGCATAAGATTTTGAACTTATTAAGTCTTTACACAAGTTATTGTTTTGCTTTTCCATACCTGGTTTGACGCATTGCATGCCATGTCAACCAACGGTTACTTCAGCGTGACTGGCGGCCATCCACCGTTGTTAGTTTTGTTGTTATGCCATGTTTATTCTTGAGATGATCAGGTGAGGCCAATGCAGATAGTGCTTGATGCATGAGAGTTCATTTGAAAAATCTTAGTTCACACTTATATATGCTGCCTACTACAGTGCCACTAGCATTGTGTGCAGAATGCATACTTACAGTACCTCACACACCTTTTCAGTCCCTTGGTTTTCTTGACCACCTTCTCATTTGCATTATGTATCTCATTAAATGGATCAGCTGGACGTCATGACGTGGGCAAACGGAAGCCTCGATATTTTGTGTTGAAATATGGCATTTTGTCCGGTTTTCGCAGTTAGGTCATTGTTGCAAGAGTGCATGTGATATGTCAAGTCACAGCAGACTTGTACTCGGCGACATACTAATTTCGTCTTGGCTCAACATGTCACTCATGTGTTGGGCAGGGAACACCATGTGGTCAGGCCAGGTCGTTAAAGACTTCATGCTGGTATAAAATTTAAGCTGTGTGCAGCATACCCTGCGGTAAAAACCGACATCTCTCCTGGCCCAGCCTGCCGACCCTTCACATCGTGTTATGAGCCTGCTCGCGAAGGGTGACTGAAACATGGTCCGTGAGCGGAAGCAGCCATACATGCAAACAAGCCTGGCTCTTGAAGTGCCAGATCAGCAGTGTAGCTTCTTAACATTAACTGGAGGGCGTGATGGAACCTAACCCCAAAACTCAACAAACGAACAGGTTTCTCTCCGGATGTGATCCTCTTCTCAAAATTGGAGGGGAGGGGGGAGTCAACCGAATCGGAACCCACGTCCCTGGCCAAGGCCCATGCCGACACCATATCCTGCCACTCGCGCAGAGGGTTGCACGGGCTGTATCAGGGCGTGTCCTTTGCACTCTGGGGGTTGTCAGCGGTGCTGTTTACGGCGATACCGTGGCATGGCGCTGAACTTCTCTGATGTTCGCAGCTTCTCGGACATCTGATGCTGGTTGCCAAGAAGACTGCTGCACAGGAGAAACTGGAAAAGGGATTCCGACTGGGTAAGGTGTTAGTAGAATGGTTGAGGCTCAGTCAGCCTCGCCTGACCCGTCATCAATCCCACGCCCCGCCGGGAGCGGCCGCTGCCGGGTACACGCTTTGGTCATCATTTGCCCTGCTTCATCTGGAGCAGCTGCTGCTGGGTACACGCTTTGGTCATCATTCGCCCTGCTTCATCTGGAGCGGTTGCTGCCGGGTACATGCTTTGATCATCATTTGCCCTGCTTCATCTGGAGTGGCCACTGCCGGGTACACGCTTTGATCGTCATTCGCCCTGCTTCATCTGGAGTGGCCGCTGCCGGGTACACGCTTTGATCGTCATTCGCCCTGCTTCATCTGGAGCAGTTGGTGCCGGGTACACGCTTTGATCGTCATTCGCCCCGCTTCATCTGTAGTGGCCGCTGCCGGGTACACGCTTTGATCGTCATTCGCCCTGCTTCATCTGGAGTGGCCACTGCCGGGTACACGCTTTGATCGTCATTCGCCCTGCTTCATCTGGAGTGGCCGCTGCCGGGTACACGCATTGATCGTCATTCGCCCTGCTTCATCTGTAGTGGCCGCTGCCGGGTACACGCTTTGATCGTCATTCGCCCTGCTTCATCTGGAGTGGCCACTGCCGGGTACACGCTTTGATCGTCATTCGCCCTGCTTCATCTGGAGTGGCCGCTGCCGGGTACACGCATTGATCGTCATTCGCCCTGCTTCATCTGGAGCGGTTTGCTGCCGGGTACACGCTTTGATCGTCATTCGCCCTGCCTCATCTGGAGTGGCCGCTGCCGGGTACACGCTTTGATCGTCATTCGCCCTGCCTCATCTGGAGTGGCCGCTGCCGGGTACACGCTTTAATCGTCATTCGCCCTGCTTCATCTGGAGCGGTTGCTGCCGGGTACGCGCTTTGATCGTCATTCGCCCTGCTTCATCTGGAGCGGTTGCTGCCGGGTACACATTTCGACCGTCATTCGCCCTGCTCCGTCCAACGCCGTCCCTGCTACTGGACTTGAATGCTTGTCATCTGCTTTCGTTTGTGTGGTCCAGGTGCTGGAAGCCGGACAAGTTGTCGACATGCCTTGTTGCCGACGCATCAAGTGGACGGAATGTTGATGCGTCGAGATGTAGTTTGCTAAATGCCTATTTGTCAAAGTGTTACGTACTGAAACGCCAGTTGCCAAAACGATCTTCAGTCGAATGTCAATGCACAAGATCTAAAAGCCGAAATTTCTTGAATGGAATGCCAAGTTGCCGAAATTCCTTGTAATCGAATGTCAATAAGCCAACATGTTCTTTGATGTGTCAAATAACAAACATTGGTCATACACATTTGACGTAGTCGGTGTGTCAAATGTCAAATGCTCTTTAGTCAAAGACATCCTACCAAAAGGTGTTTTGGTCTTATTGTAATCGGGCAAAATGCTTTCTAGTGAAATGCTTATGCGTCGAAATACGTTTGTATATTGCTGACAGAGGCCTCTTAGCCTTCGCCCTGTGGACGTTTTTACCACAGTCACCCTACGAGAGGAGGCCTCAGCGCCCCTGCCCCCCCCCCCTGTTATGTCCCCACACACTTCCAATATGTAGAAAACTAAGCAAGCCAGAACCCCGGAAAATACGGCATTGGAAAGCTGTTGTGGAGCTGTATACGATTGGCGTGACCGAGCGATGGCAAATATGACAAGGCAGGTCAAATTAAGTCCACCCTCTTTTAGGCACAAGAACGAAGCACGCGGAAGGCAGCGTCACTTAAAAACCTCTATCGGATCGATATTAGTTGACACCGATAAATGTGAGCCGTCGTTTATTATGTCAGGTCTCAGGGACGAAGGGTATTGTCCCATTGGGTCGTATAGTCATGTACTTAACCAGCCAAACCTAAGCGAATTCTTCCATGTCCTTAGCAGCATTGGTTATGCCGTACCAACAACGTTGGCAATGCGTAGCGTATTTATGACCCTCCTCTTACGGTCAGCGGACTCCAGACCATTTCAGATCGTCCAGTTTGCTTTTCCACAAAATGAATTACGTTAATTGGTCACGTGACGAATTTATGTTTATCTAATAGCCGCTCGTTGCGTCCTCCACAAGGATTTCCGATTGATTAACCATCCGGTGATTTTTCATTCGTCAAAGTTACATTTTGACAACACATTCGGCTTATTGACCATTTGTTATTGACCAGTACCATTTGACTGCTATTTACCTAAGTTCCGTCTCGGCTTATTGGTATTCATCTTTTAAAAATATCGGCGTCTTCGCATCGTCAAATGTGCTTTTCGCCTTGGTGGTTCCCCGGCAAGAAGGCATTCAGGTTTGTCACATTTGGTTAAACGCCGCTCGACAATTTTTTCTGGAAACGCTGTGCAATGGATGGAGAAGGGCGCATTCCCCCCACATATGCGGGCGCAGACAGAATTATATGGAAATCGGCATCATCTCCCACATGTGTTATTATTGCCAACCAATATGTCCATGGCATTGATATCTGTTAAGTCATGCGCTTGGATGCAACTCAGGTCAGAACACAACGCTTCATTTTACATGTTTCACCCATCCCTCGAAACAGGCTTTTTTGGGCGGTCTGGAGAATTCCCCGGAATCCAAAGGCCTTATGATGATTTGCTGCTCCATTTCATCGCGACGCTTGCCGGCCGCGACGCTGGTACGCCGTGCCGGTGACGCTGCTGACCTTTAGCGGTGCCAGTCGGTGTCTGACCGGGAGGGGTATTTGGTGCAACGCGGGTATTTGCTCAATGTCCGATGCCCGGCTGACGTGATTGTTCCTTTCAGTGATCAACAATGGACCGGACGGTGCGCAGTCGGTGTACCACCTGCACCTGCACGTGCTAGGCGGGCCGCCAGATGGGCTGGCCGCCCGGCTAGCGCCCTCTCCGTGTGCCTCCGACGCCTGGGCACAAGTCACCTGCAATGCCTATTCAGCCGGCCTTTATTGGAAACGTTCAATAAAGACGAATAAAATAGCCAACTGGGTCGGTCGGTCGGTCTCGTCACATCTCTGTCCCGCTGGCGCTCACAGCCACGCTCAAGGCACTCGCAGCGCACGCTGCCCAGTACGACTCATGATTACATGTACCACTCGGCAACAGACGCGCCACGAAAAGGTTCATAAAACTAGCAACTGCCGCGACGCGGCGGCGCGCCGGTCGCCAGAGTTACGGCAGCCACACACTGATTATGTACACACGGGACACCGCCTACAAACTCAAGCTCCTTGTCACAACCTCGCGCCACTCCTCGTAAACGGCATGCTGAAAGACTAAACCCTGATGAAGTGCGTGTCGACAAGTGGCGGCTCGGACCTGCGCCGTTCCGATTAGTTCCAATTAAAAGCCGCCGAATCGCGCCGGAGACGACACGCCCACCATTAAGAGCGGCCAAGAGCCTGCGCAGGGCCCGCCCAGACATGCGGCAAATACACTCACACATACAGCGGTCACGACCGACACAGGTCGCGGGAAGACATGCCGGCCGGCGGCGGGGGCCGGCGCGGCCGCGTCGAGCGGTAAAACGGTGCCTCTCAGAAGGTGCTGCTGCGGCTGCGGGGCGTGCCGCGGCCCAGCAGGGCGGCCTCCACCATCACCACCGCCGGCGGCGGCGGCGCCCCGCTCCGGCGAGCCGTGTGCGCTCAGGTCCGCCAGCTGTGAACGCAACCGCTGGTTCTGCAGCCGCTCGGCGTTGAGCTGGCGGCGCAGCTGGGCGCGGCTGCGGCAGCTGGCCGGCAGCTGGTAGGGGTGCGCCAGCAGCTCGGCGGCGCTGGGCCGGCGCGCGGGGTCCGGATCGATCAGCAGCTGCCGGCGGGCAGGTCACGGTCAGACGCCATGCCACGCAGCAGAAGGCGGCGGACTAAATACATGCGCGATATAAAAGAACGACTTGTCGCAGCTAACCGTCAGCAGACCTGCACAATGTAATGCATGAAAAGAAAGAAGACGGACCAGCTATTTTTCCTAGCACCAGAGACGGCCAATATCAGCTCCTGCAAGCTATTACAATAAGCTAAAAATGGCACGACTGGGCAGCCGCAGGAAGCTGCCAACGAAGTTCTTGCATGGAACCGAATGGAACATATCAAACGACCTGCAGGGACAATCGTCGTCGGTTAATCCAATGGGGGCATTCCTAGCTTGCCAGAGTCCCTGACAATATCTGGAATTAGCGTGATATTCCAAAGGTGCAACAATTGGCCCCAATGCCCACTGCATTGAACACAGACCCCCCACGGAGTTGTCGCGCCACCCGACACAAAGTACTCCGAACCCCATCCCTGCGCTCTGCCTCCCCGGTGCGGCTGCCCTGGCTTCCCCCACCACGAGCCATCTCCCACGCTCGGCCTCCCCGGTGCGGCTGTCCGTGCCTTCCCCCACCACGAGCCGTCTCCCGCGCTCGGCCTCCCCGGTGCGGCTGTCGTGCCTTCCCCCACCACGGGCCGTCTCCCGCGCTCGGCCTCCCCGGTGCGGCTGTCGTGCCTTCCCCCACCACGGGCCGTCTCCCGCGCTCGGCCTCCCCGGTGCGGCTGTCGTGTCTTCCCCCACCACGGGCCGTCTCCCGCGCTCGGCCTCCCCGGTGCGGCTGTCGTGCCTTCCCCCACCACGGGCCGTCTCCCGCGCTCGGCCCTCCCGGTGCGGCTGACCGTGCCCCCTCCCCCCTCCGTTGGGCCATGTCCCGCGCCTGGCTCACCCGGATGAGCCGGTACAGTTCGTCAGAGAAGCCGGGCAGCGGCGGCAGGACGCCGTTGCGCAGCTGCTGCCACAGCTTGCCGTTCTTAGGCAGCGGCTGGCCGCTGGCGCACTCGTACGCAGTCAGGCCCAGCGCGAACATGTCGGCTTTGGCCAGGCTGCTGTAGTCCTCCTGCAGGATCTCCCGCGGCATGTAGCGACAGTCGCCCTCCTCCACCTGGCTGTCGTCCAGCGCCGTCACGTGGCCAAAGTCACCTGACGAGTGGGCCGCGTGAGGTCAGCATTGCGCTTCCCTTAAAACACAACATCCCACGGTCTGGCAGACTGTGTTCAAGCGGTTCGTTTCCATGCTCCCGGCCCATACGTGCGGACACATTGGATGAAAAGTGGCAAGGCTTTAATCGACGAACACGGCACTTTTCAACCAATTGCTGGCCCTTGTCGGCCATGAGACGGCGCACAGCCGGCCAAGAGGCGGTCCGTGGTCACCTGACGTGACGCCTCGTCATTGGCGGCGGCGTGAACCCGCGTGTGCACCCTCCCCGCACTCCATCCTTCACCAAGCTCAGTCCCCGCACACAGGGCACAAGCACAAATGAGCATCCTGCCAGCGACGACAGTGACGCGCACCTATCTTGTAGATGACCTCGTCGTCCTCCTCGGCCAGATCCTCGTCGAAGCCGTCGTCGGATGACACGACACTGGCGTCGTCCTCCATGCGCGAGGCGGCGCGCCGCTCGCCGGAGAACAGCTCGTTATCCGTAAGGAAGATGTTGCCCGGTTTCAGGTCCAGGTGGCACAGGCGCATCGAGTGGATGTACCTGTCGACAGCGGCCAGGCGGTGAGCACGGCATCACGCATAACGGCGTGCGGCGCCCGTCCCCTGTCTCTCGGACGACGGCGCGGCAGCGCTATCTCCGTGGCTGCCGCACAAACAAGGCGGCTCCGTGGCGACCCCCGCGGTGCAATCATTGCGCTCGGCGCCTCACATTGATGCGAGGGGCTCAATTTTACCTGGCACCAATAGCGTCAAGAGTACCGTCTTGAGAACATGGCATTCGTTCATCACGAATCGTTCTTTCCTCCGAAAAATCTTAACGAATGCCAGTCTGTCATACATAGGGAAAGGCAATGACGAGCGTCTCTACAGTAAGACCCCGCAGTGCGCCAGCCGGGAGCAGCGGAGCGGCCGCCTCACCTGAGTCCGCGCGCCACGTGCGTGATCATTGCGCTTGATCTCCGCCTCTGGGAGCAGCGTGCCAGCCGCCCGGTGCTGCTCCAGTAGGGCGGCCAAGCTGCTGCGCGTGCAGAACTCGTTCTGGATCAGCATGTGGTTCCTCTCGGCCCAGGCAGAGTAGTAGCGCACGATGTACTGGTGCTTGCCCAGCACCGCGTGCGCGTAAACCTCGTTGAGCGCGCTGCGTCTGTAAATATAGCCGGCGTGGTGAGCAAACGAGCGCGCCATATTAGTGGCGTCCTGGCCGTGGTTCAGACGCTAGAGCACCACCTCAGTGCAATGTCTACCTTAGTTCACGCCCATCGGCCAAAGGGATTCATCATTCAACCGTGCAAGATGCATGACTCAGCACTGTTTTTTTTCAGTTAAGTGTAACACGTCGAGTCCTTCGCGAATTGTGACGGACGGAACACAGATAGCCTGCCCGCCATGCAGCAACAGCAGGATGCGTCTGGCGTCATTATTATACTGCCAGCGTTCATTCACGATCACGCACGTCAGGGACGCGCGACGCGGCCACGCGATTTACGTTTTTCATGGCCAAACTGGCATCCTTAACCGGTTGAACCACTCCGGGCCAGCATTCACCAGAGCTGCTCACGCCCGATCCGGGGACGGCGCGCTACTCACTCGTGCGAGCTGCCGGCTACGGGCTTGTGGCTGCGCTTGATGGCGTATGTGCAGCCGTCCAGCCGGTTGGTGCAGCGGAACACCTGGCCGAACTGCCCGCTGCCCACCTCCCCCTGCATGATAAACTCCTTCTCCAGCCGCGAGACATTGGCGTCGGCGAGCGCCAGCCGCTTGGTGGGAAGCGCCTCGTCCGCCTCGCCGTCCGTGGAGCAGTCCGTGGAGACGGACAGCAGTGACCTGGCCAACACCGGACACACACGGCGGTCAGATGGGCGGCGAGCTCCTAGGACCCGCACAGGAGGCCCGCGTCACCACGCCACGCCAACATCGACAACGAGCACACATGCGGCTGGAGTCTGGCTAACGTGGCCAACAGCTCGGATTTGGGCAAGCTGTGGCACACTCCAGGTTAATACACATCATTGGATGCGTTCTTCACTGGAGAAAGCGCCGCACCCATGTACCTTCGAAACCAAAAAAAGGACAATGCTTGCACCACACATTTTGGGTGCAATTTTTCAGACAGCAAAAATCTACCTCATCTGACCAATACTGACACCCATCTGCCACGCCACCATCCGCATCGCCGTCGTGCTAAAGCCCTGAGAGCTTCACGAAGGGCGCCGCCACGCACCCGTCAGTGCCGCTGATACTGTCCCGCAGCCGCTTGCGCTCGTTGATCTGGCGGCCACGCGGCGTGAACGGGTTGATGTTGGCTGCCGGCTTGTTGGCGGCCTCCCTCTCGACCGAGGCGCTGCCCAGGACGCGCGTGCGTGCCGCCACCTTGCGGCAGTAGGGCCGCGAGCGCAGCAGACTGTTGGCGTTGACGTCGCGTGGCGTCTGCGGCGGCATCATGCAGTCCTCCAGGATAGTACGCGGCGTGGTCGGCACGTCGCCCAGGTGCAGACCTGCGCCCGTCAGCAACGGCACAGTCAGCGGCGCTGCAAGGCTGGCCATGTGCTCACACGCACGCCATGACCGGCGGGGTCACGTCTGCCAGGTGAGATGAAGATGCGATGCTGGTCTGCTGCAGAATGGACTACATAATCCCAAAACAATGAAAGCACAAGTGAAATGTTCGTTGATGGCAAACAACATGTTTAATTTCGGGGCATATTCTAACAGTTTGAAGAACACTGTCATTGCACATATGCTTATCCCATGAATGAAGTCAACATTCTAAACATTATATTTTGCCTGGACCTTTTGCCTGGATGAATTTCTGGGATCAGCACTAGCCCAAAGCAGTGCTTGGTGCATGAGCCTTGACACCACTAGCTGATTGTGAGGTTCCAGGCCAAAAGCAGAATTTTGCTGCAAAATATTTGTGTCGCAATGTTCGGCATGGTCCGTCCTGCGCTCTGAAGTGAATACCTGTATCCCAGTCGCCGCCGCCGGCCAGTCGGCGGCAAATTGCCAGCACCCCAGGTAACTCAAAATCCCCCTACCACAGGTGGCTGAATCAGAAAGCAAGTTTTTTAACCCACTGAAGTATGGGGATAAATCAAATAAAATATGTTAATACATTTAGGGTAAATGCTGTTAACAAAATCACAGCCTGCACAGACATACTAAAATAACATAAGTAGCCAGACATGTGCCTGGACCCAAGATCCCAGGGTCAGCTAAACATGAAACTCTATGGGATCCTGGATCCACCCTTGGGATCCCAGCACCATTGCAAGTAGCCAATAAAATAAGCAGCTACAGCAAAGCACAGCAGAACATGTTTTATAAGCCACACAGAGCCCATCACCAGTAATCCATAATAGGGTCAGCCCACACCACTTGCCCATGCTCACAGCAGGCATCTGGTCACCTAACAGTCAGAACTAGTCATGCTGTTGGTAAGCAATGGCACAGACCACAAGCAGCCAGTAGTAAAAATATGCCAAAAAGGCAGCTGGCCAACACATGATCCAGCCTGTTAAGTTGGCACCAACTATTCCGCTGAGATGCAATTTGCATCACAGATCTGCAGCCAGCCAAGTCTGTGAAACTACTCACTCCTGCCAGCCTCCACCTGGACCAGACCGCAGTTCGGCAGCAGCGTTGGCTCACCCTGCATGTGCTCATAGGGCGGCAGTTCACCCTTGATGCGCTTGTAGGGCGGCGAGGGCGACGTGGAGCCGAGCCGGTCGCGCACCAGTCGGCTGGCGTGTTTCGCAGCGCCGGTGTCTCGCTGGCCGGAGGAGGGCGCGAGAGGCGCCGCGGACTGGACGTCATCGCCGGCGCCTGGAACAGGCTGTCGCCGCCGCGGCGCGGCGAGCCGGCCGCCGGCGACAGCTGCTTGAAGTCGTCCGTGTCGCAGCCCGACGACATGCTGTTGATGGAGAGCTCGCAGCCATTCTCCGGCTCTTCATCGCTCAGCATAGTAAAATCAATCTTCTGCCGCGATTGAGTTCATGGCTGGGTCGGATTACCTGCCAGCACACAAAAATTATGTCTGACAGGCTTGTCACCTATCCAGACCCAGGGAATACCCATCTGATTGTTCATTAGCTTATTCAATCACACCTACATAAGGATAGACTTCCATGATCTTAGCGCTCAATTACCACCCTGCTGCTAGCAACCATATTAAAGCAATAAATGATAAAACTTGCTGTCACAAAACCAGCTAGGGTTTTATACCTGGAAAGCTGCATGAAGGGTGAGACAGTTTTCCCACATACATCGCGCCATAAAATGCAAAATCATGGCGGTGCTTTGCCTAGGAGTACTGTACTGCTGACAATGGAGTCTTAGACCAGCCAACAAAACACAGAAGATCTCACCAAAACCTCCATTGGGCAGGGACAAGAGAAAACGAAATTTTGAGCACACATTCCTGAGAACATGTAACCTATGCTGCCTTGGGAAAGTTCAGTGCTACCAATGGCTAGGAGAATAGGAAAGACTCATGCTTTGCAGTGGTTTCAATTTTGCAGAGCCCTGCCCCAACATGAGCAGCTGCTGCCCCATTTGCTGCAGAAATTAGAATGCCCCAAATATCCAAACAACACAAAGCTGTGGTTTACACGATTGAGGTAGGGAGCATGAGACAAATGTCTATGTCCCCAGAGAAAACCTTGACACACTTTCCACCACCTGACAGCAGCCACTAAGATGCATATCATCTATATAAATGCATTTCATCATGTGACATATGGTTGTCTGTGAAATTATCTAACAGTCAATGTTTTAGTCTAACAAGTAAGCCTTGGTTTAAGCTGTGGGAGCTGTGGGGCATCCAGCAATATCTTAAAGGAAATGATCCACATTTTATGGGGATTTGAATTCAAAATGCCATCTTAAAGATCACTCAGTGAGGTTCACAGCCCTGATTTTCTTAAGATCTACACTCGTCTAGTTTTTGAACTAGATGCCCGTGAAGATACCACAGCTATTGTTACAGTTATTGAGTTTTAAGGGTGTGTCAACTGCACTGGTTATTTGCACCCCCATGAAGATGCACAAACTATTTCAGGGAGACTATTTTGAGGCCATCAAGGCATCCATGATACCATAGCAATGCTACATCAATCCTGTCATTCCCTTAGATGTGGTGCAATCATGACCACAAAAATATAACATACCATAGTAGTGCTACATCAATCCTGCCATTCCCTTAGATGTAGTGCAATCATGACCACAAAAATATAACTGTCATCCTCCACATCTGGCATTTGTGAGGATGATTTCCAGGTATACAAGCTGTCAACTGAATCTCAATCAATGTTGTACAAGATATAACAATGATGTATTGAGGGGCATGTTTACTCAAGAGAACAACTGTGTTGTCTAAAGCACCCTTTTCCACTCAAAAACATATCAAGCTATAAGTGAGCCTATTTAATCATATCTGATGCTTGCTTCAATATCATTTAAGGTGGAGCATTCCTTTGAACAGTTTATAAAATGAGACACAAAGCAATCCCTGTGATCAACTTGTAAGATCAGAAGTAACATACATAAATCACATTTAGTACTTTAACCCTCTACTCTGTAATTTATATTAGGTTAGGTTGCAAAGCTGCAGACAGAATTAACTAAAATCATTGAACAAGCATAACAGGCAGGCCTCCTATCCCTGGGCAACACTTTCAGAACTTTTTGTTGAGAAGGCTCCATATTAAAGGTGTGATTACATCTTGTGTTAAAAACAACTGACATAAAAGATACCATAGGCCCTGGTTAAATGACAGTATTCAATGGATATCAAAATGAAATAACAACATGTAAAAGTAACATACATGGTCAACAAATATCCTAAACTAACATATCTTGCTATGACTTATGTGATCAAGACATTGTACATAAAGCATTCACAGGGAGGAATCAAGACCTTATGCACATGGCACAGTTAGCATGTAGCCTGAGGCAAGTCAGTATTAAGGTGTATGTAATTGTCTACAGTATTCTATGAAATTGGTATAGCTGCACAGCATAATTGAAATTCAGCAATACCAGACATAACAAATTAGAACAAACAGGCCATGGCATGGCATGGCATGGCATGGCTGGCACTGCCTAAAGAGTATACATGGCCTCATGATTTTTTCACTGGTCAGTGCATACTTAAAGCAGCCTGCATTTTGTACAGGTCAGTAAGTAACAGCATAGAACATACCAG